AGCGTGGAACAAACGGACGACGTCCCCCTGGAAGAAGGAGACGGCGAGAGCGTCAGCAGCAGCAGACCTTCCTGGAGTCCCCCTCAGGTCCACCCCCCCCCCCCCCCCTAACACCCTCAGGCCTGAAGCAGCAGGAGCTTCTCTCTCTGACATGCTTCTAGTTTCACTCACTCCTTTCAGGACCTCCTCTCTGTGGTCGCTGAACATCATGAACAGGTTGATCTTCCAGCTGGTGTTGCAGTTCACCGAGTTCACCTGCAGGGGGAGTCAGAGATGCATCAGGTTGGATCCTGTCTGCAGCAGCTTTAGGTTCATGCCGGGGACTATTTGAATGATTGTTTGGAGGGTCTGGTTGTTTCTATTTGTTTTTATTAATTTTCTTTTCCTAGTTTGAATCCAGTTCTGCTGTTTTCTATCAGTGTTTCTGTTTATTTTCAGTCTTCAGTCGACGGTTGCCAAGCGTCTCTAGAAAAACGGAATGGTTCCGTATTTAGAAACAGAATTAGCTGTTCCGTATTTAGTGGAAAAGGAACACACTTTGTCCCGTATCACTGTGAGAGTAAAAAAATAGTCACGGGCACGTTTAATACAAAACTTACGGTAAACTTGTTCCCGTCCCTGTCCTGCATTGTGACCAATGAGCTGACAGCATATATGTAACGATCCAGAATCCCCTCATCCCATTGGTCGAGCCAAGTGTTGCTCACAGAGAATTTATCGGGAGACAACAGAGGAGTTTGGGGGACGATCGGATGAATTTAAAGGAAAAGGAATCCTGGCAGTCCAAAGGAACAGCAGGGAGGTGGATGGAGGTTCTCCAGGCTGCTGACCTTGGTCCTCAGCTTCCATCTTCCACTGGTTTTATGGAGGATTTTCTCCTTAATGAAGAACAGATGGACTGATGGGCAGAACAAATGTTCCACTGAATGAATTAAAGCTGAGCTTATTTTCAGCCTCAATCAGAGTTTTACTCTGCATCTCTGAAAGACAAATCCTGACGGCTGCAAGAGCTCAGAGGAAAGACGAGTAAAAAAGTCGACCATCGCTACATAATGTGGTATTAAGCTAATGATAAACTTTCTGTTTTCCAACTGTAGCCAAAAGTTATTGCATTAAAGGCACAAATATGTTTACAAGTTTGCTGTTGCACCGAAAACCTGCACTTTTTATTTATTTATTTATTTATTGTTTTATACAAATTTTTAGATTTTGAAGAGAAGCAGGACAGGCTGAGGTTTAAGATACTTATTTTATTCAGCAAAGTTTGTTATTTTGTATAAAAGTGAATTACTGGATAATATTTGTTTTCCATGTGTTCATGTCGCTCATAGATATGCATCTAATTTAATGCAGATTTAAGTCAAATAGTTAAAAAAATAATTTGACACACAAAAGGGGCAGAAATAAAACCACCACCCCAGGAGGGGTGAGGGCAGTCGGGTCAGCTGGGACCTGCTGGTGTCTCTGCTCTCACCTCTTTGCATCCTGGATGGTCGCTCAGTTCATAGTTGGAGGCGTGCAGCGGCTGGCCGGCGTTCACCGGGTTCAGGATGACTTTATCGCCCACCACCACCTGCAGGACAAACAAAACTATAAACTTTATACTCTAATTATCCCAGAGGGAAATTCCCTCTCTGCATTTAACCCCTCCCATTGGGAGGGCAGTGGGCTGCCATTGTACGGCGCCCGTGGAGCAGGGTGGGGTTAAGGGTCTTGCTCAGGGACCCAGAGTGACAGTCTGTGTGAGAGGGGGATCAAACTCACAACCTCAGGATTCAAAGCTTCATGCCCCACCCACTAGGCCGCCACTCCCCTTACAACACCAGGAAGACCACCGCGAGAAACATTAAAATATAAAAAAATATGCATAAACAATGTGTCCAAAGATTAACAGCCAGTTTAAAAAAATGAGTCTTTATTCTGGATTTAATTTATTTATGAAACAAATCAGGTTAAAAAGACGAATGAAGGAAAACTTTAAATATTCGACTGCAAATTAGGAGATAATAGAAAAACTAAAAGGTTGATTTTAAGAAATCTGAATTATTCAGCGACTGTATGAACTAAAATAAATCAGCCGCTGATTCAGCGGCAGCCATCTTGTGAGGGTCATGTGAGGTGCGTTTGTTTACGTTGTCTCCGTTGGCTCGGAGCTTCCAGAAGGGCTGGATGAAGAGCCAGGAGCCCTCGTTCCCGGTGCCGTCCAGCGTCACCCTCATGGCGTTCTTCTCCAGCAGAGCCGGCAGCCGTTTGTTCACCGTCAGGTACTTGTTGCTCTTCATGTGGAGCAGCTGAACACAGAGAGCACAGAGTTACTGGACGGCGTCAAGCCTCAGAGTCCAACATTCAACCATCTTATAGTTGTTTTCATTTCCAGTTCTTGTGATCTGGTCTTCTGAACCTTTTAGATGTCTCT